TTTTTCTATGTTATAGTATGCTACCATCGCTGTTAAGACATTTATGTGACTCTTAAACTCAGTGATCAGTAGCAACTGTCTTCAATGACCAGAGAAGGGAACAAGTAACGTGACAAGTAACGCAAGAATCATATATCCTAACATTTGCCTTCTTTTGGAGTGAGCTTACTTCGAAAACAAAATATATAAACATAACCAGTAGTCAGAGTCTCTAAAATTAATGCTTAGAGTTCTTTTGATGTCCGAGATGTCCCATGTAGTAAAATCCAGTTCGACAATAAAATGCCCCATAGAAATCGAGAATTTCAGAAGCAGGCTGAACAACCCAAGCCAGTTGAAGGCAGTGACGGCCAGTCTTTAAAAGAATGAAAGCTAGGGTTCAAAGCAGGATTTTAAGTCAGCTAATCCTGAACCGAAGCAAATATCGATACCACAGTCTGTTCCAGTAAAGAAAACTCGAACAAGAGTTATAAAGCCACCCTCGAGGTTTAATGACTCTGTTGTGTTGTTGGCCGTGTCAAAATTGACTTCCGCTCAATAGAACTCTGGGCATTCAATATGGCAGACAGCTCACTTGACCAAAATTGTAATCAGTGAAATTACAGACAATGACTTTCACAAAACAATAAACAATTAAACTCAAAGGCAATGTAAATTATACCACAAACCTCGCACACACATGGTAAATTTTTACTGGTAGCGTTCCTCACTGAACCGAGCAAGCTATGCGAAGCGCTTGTTTTGTTGCTACAAAGCAGCAGCCTTTTGTGAAGCTCGCATAATGGTTATGAATTTAAGGCCAGGTTATTTCGATGTTTTCACCATGGTGTTGTTCAAAGTCTGATTTCCGAAAAGTTTGTTCACCCATAGGCATCTCAAAACAGGGGTGGTTACGATAGTCTAATGCACAATTGTTATTGATCAAGACATAGACCTCTTACTGACCTCTTCTTCTGTGCGTTGAGGACCGAGCTTTTTCCTCTTGGATGGCCCACAACGAGGTTCCATAACTTATTAAAAATACAGATCGAGAAAACAAGGTTACTGAATCTCTAGGTTCAAACAGAGGCGATGATTTCGGTTAGAATAAAAATTTTAATTTAGAGGTCTGAACAGTTTAATAAGGCTCGTTAAACTCCTCAATCATAGCGAAAGTACTAGCACACAGATATCATAAATAAAACTAAGGATCAGGAAATACTTCCCGGGTAAATAAACTGAGTGCGACCAACAAGTAAAAAATGGTTTGGTTCCCAATGTGATAGCAGTTATGTCAAACTTCTCTTCACGGACATCACTTTGTTGAGACTTTTTTACAATTCGACAAGTTTATAGACAAACAAAGCAGCTTATAATTTGAATGGGTTTAGCATTTCATCCACGGATTGGGCCTAGAATAAGAAAGAATAGGAAAAATCGTTGAACTATAGTTCACCTCTTCACTAAACTGTGAAGCGCAACTGAACATATCCATATAGAGGGCTGCTCTATATAAATGTAATTATCATTATTAACTTCATCAACTACATCTCTGTCTGATAATCAAAATGAGCGTATGGTTTAATGTGTTGATGCCGTGTCGCATTCATTTAATACGTTGTCGAGTTGATGACGTAACCCTCAAGATTCTGCCTAAAATCTTGGCATAAAGTCCGTTTTCTGTTAATTAAAAGGGCCTCCTGTCGAATCGTATTGATGTTATCTCTCCATCTTGTGTTTTCGTTCTTTAAAGACCTTGGGTATGGGCGATGTTTTGGATCTCCCGCAATAATAGGTACAAACATCAAGGCCTGACCTCAAAATATTAGTTCCACAGCAGAAAACATGAAGATTTGTCATGACCACCGGCTTTTTCTTTCATACTGGGTAAGGTAAGGGAAGAGATGCTCAACAGATTTGTAATGAAATGCATTTAAATAAGCATCATACCATATTGTTGGTATAACAAGGGGACTGTCTGTCGTGTTACATATTTTCTTTCGTCTGTCACTAGTTCAGGTGGCTCCACAACGTCAATTACGGGTTTATAATCTAGGAGCCATTGTTCGAAGACTCTAAACGGCGGAAGCCTCTTCATTTGTGGCGAAGCAGATGAATGGAAATGTAGCACCATACCATCATCCATAAAAATGTAATAATGGTATTTTGGAGATCTTATTATAGCAGCAAAATACAGCACATTTCGTCCCGTTCCCCAGGCGACTTTTCCACTTTACATTTGTTACGAAAGCTTAGTACTATGACATTACAATTACATGTCTCGGGGTCGCCGATCTCGGAATAAGAGGCAAAGTTTGAAGGAAGGCATTGTTCCGTTTGAGTGAGATAAACGAAAGGCTTTGGCGATGAATAATTTGTTGGTTTTTTCTGTGGCTGTAGCTTGAGCTGGAAAAACCTTTCGAAAGGCGATTTCATCTATGATAAAAAAAAATATTGAAGTTTATTTTGAAGTACTCGCAATTAAGTTTGACCTATGAGGAGAAACTTTAAGAAATTTGATTCTGTACGATACAACGAAGATGTTCTCTTACTTCCTTTCCCTGTTGCAAGCACCTTTAAAGACATCAATGATGTGCATTGAGCATGAGGAAAACTGCTAAAGAGACGTGCTTGATGATCATGCTTCCTTGGTAGAGAAGAAAACTATGAAACCCCTTCAACCGCTCTACTTTAACTCTGAAGTGATAGCCGCTATTCACTTTTGAAATCAATTCAAGTGCAAATATTATGTCACGAAAAATCAAAGCGATTGGAAAAAGTATCGACAACAGAGAAATCGCGTTGTTAGCCTGAGAACACAAAGGGATACTTCGCCAAGCAATGTCCGAGACTATTCATTTAACTTAAGGCGAAACCATTATTCAAAAGCAATACAAGATTGCAGATATCCTAACTAGGCACTCTCTCAGGATAAACGCACCGGCTGTGAACGACCTGAATGATCACGCTAGTATTCCTTTCATCAAAGAGAATATCTCTCCTAATGAATTTTTCAACTTCAGTTAAGTAAGTGAAACTAAAGCTTATGCCGGAATTACTTAAGTCACTCAACATCAGGAAAGTTTTTGGTCTCTCAGAGACCAAAATCGATGACAGCTATCCAGATAGCGATTTTTATGTTTGCAATAAAAATAAAAAAGGATTAACTTTACCTCTCGTTGTAAAGATAATTTTGGTTCTGTTTAAAGTCACCCTGTCATGAACGTTTAAGCTTGCGGATAATAAAGATATTTACTCATATGCTACAAAATTTTTAGTTCATCGTAAAGAGAAGGACGAATTCTCATAAAAATCGCGATTTTGAGACGCCATTACTGCATTGTAATGGTGGCTAGTCGAAGGGAAATATATTGTTGTATTGGGAAGAGTCGCATAGCGACGAAGCTCAATAATAATAATAGCAATAACAATATATTTTCTCCTAAATAGCTAGCCGCCAATGTAATGCGGTATTGGCGTCTCAAAATTCCGACCGGTTTATATCGCGATCCACCCATTACAAACATTATGCTACAAGCTGAGAAATTTCTGAAAAGTAACTGTCTTAGATCAAAAGCATTTTTAACCAAATTTGAAAAACAGTCGCATTTGTTTTAAGCGACACCGCATTAAGCGGTAACTCTGTATTAAACGGTGGGTCATCAAAGTCTCAAAATATTTCGGGGCCACATTTAGTATCTGGGCAACCGAGCTCGATTCATGTTCACCGTACTCGTACGCTAGGAAAAGGATAACTACCCAATCTTGTAACTGTAATGGCTTGATATTTAGGTGAGCAGAGTGTTTGTTCAAAGTCTTTATTGATGCATTTAACTCATTTGTTCATGTTTACAGATCGCACATCCACCTGCACCTTGGCGATTGTCCACAACGTGTGGTAAAATGTACAGTAAAGGGTTGCCACAATTTTTACGCGCTTGAAGAGGAGGCGGAACACGATAAAAAGTAGAGGTGGAGAGGCTAAGAGGAATAATATTTGATCACGTGGGTGACGTTCGTCCGGTTGTAAAAAGGAGATGAATTCTCTGCGAGAAATTTCATCGGAACAAGCTGCTACAGACGTTTACCTTGATATAGTGTAACAGTTATAGTTTCAGTTTATTCTTCTGTATCATGGCTGCCGCTCTTTTCTTTTCCTCAATGGTCTACATGGCAGAATGCTAAATTTTTAAGAAGATCTTGTTGTTTCTGTTGCTGCAGCAAACGAAGAGTGTTACGATTTACCTGGTGTGATAAACGTTGCCAATGGTTACGTTTCCGAATTCTGTCAATTGTAAAGCTTGCGAAGGCAGTATTGTCAGTGCAGTTGTCAATTTCAATGCTTAATTGCAGTGGCTTGCACGCTATTGTTTACAGAGGCGGAGTTTTGCATATATTAATACACTCGCGGGAGTTTTAAAAATCGGTCAACCGTGCTTCTCGACGTAAAATTTAGGGTGGCCAAAGGTTGCTTCAAAAAAATCGGTTTTGATGGTACTTCTAAGCCTCGTACGGCAGAGAAAATTTTCACAAGCCCTCCTGAGAAATGGAAGTAACTTTTCCATATGCTGACTCTGAAGTTTCGCGAATACTTCATCGGATTTTTCAACCTGGAGATCAGCTTCCATACTCAAATACATCTAAAATTTTTAATTTTCAAAGCGGTTTCGACAATGGTTATAGAAACCGCAGAAAACAAACTTTAGTATTAATTTGTTCATTAAAACCTCTTCTACAAAACCCATATGCCGGCAAATAGCTAAGGCGCAGGCGCAAGTGGGCGATTTATAGCCATTTTCTCTATTTTTTCGCTCTCTTTTCTTGGAGGACGGTTCAAATTTACCGCAGATGGACTTAAAAGGTACCTGGGCGTGTCGCGGCTTCTGCGCGATGAGTACGCGGAGCGTTTTGAGGAGACATTTGACTGTATACTGACTTATACCTTGCTGACTTTTTTTAGGCTGATGAAACAGTACACAAAGTTATAAAAAATAAGAAAGAGTTTTCGTTGGGCCGTTAAAATGTCCGACCTGGCTGATGGCAAAGATGCCGCAAGTCCCTTCTTCAACGTAGAAAGAAGTACGTTGAGATTCATTTGGGCGAGAAATTCGACTCCTCAGAAGTTTATGTTGGAGCAGCTGGTCTCATCGATGCCACTCACGATCAGTTTAAGGTAGGGACAGGTTAATGTTGGTGAAGGCTTAGGCTACATTCGATGTAAGTAATAGAACTCATCCATTTCCTGACAAAAAAAGACTCCGTTTCACGATCTAGATTCGATGTTGTCTGTTAGCGGTACTTTTCTCTCTTGCGATTGGCTATCGATAGCGGCTTTTCTTTTTTTATTTTTTTCATAATTAATAGCAAACTAAATGGCGTTACGAGCCAGTTGCACTTTAGCTGTGGTAAGCTTAATAAGTTGAGGAATATTTCAAAAATTAATCAGAGCTGATTCAACAGCTCCTTACTTTATCTTTTTTTTCAGAATTGCATTACTTAAAGATGAGGGGGTGCAGAAAGTGGTTGAAACATCCCGTCCCACGCTTGTAGACGAAGGGGGTGTTGTCAGTATGGACGTAGACTTCGGACAGCACCCGAATGACCAGGATTTGGAATTTAAAATAACAGTAGGCATCTACGGCCGCGTATAGCTCACTCCAGGTTTTTAGTAATTGATTATTCGCCCAAAATATTTGAAGAATTAGGATTCCAACAACGAGGTTGGCTGTACTTTTTTACGATACTTTTCACTTAAACTCCAAATTGGTTCTTCTTTGAATAGAAACTTTTTGTAAAGTTTTAAGTATGTTGTGTTTTTCAATAAAGGTCTGAATAAGTTGCAAATACTAACTGCTCTTATTTCACGGATAACCGTAAATCGCTACAAAAATGAATTCAGAGGCGGAAAAGTGGACGAGAGAAAAGCATTTTAATTGAGATTCAAAGGAGGAGGATACTAACCCTTACCCCTCCCCGCCTCCCTTTCACAAAAACAACTAGAGAACCACGATGAACACAATATTCTTCTCGCAACAGTAAAATATACCAAGGAAACCTCAACCTTAAAGGAGATGAATAAGATGCTTCTTCCTACCCACTTGGGGTACCATCCTGAAGTTGGCCCGGAACCGACAGACGTGGCGATCCTTCGTAGCCGCCTTACGTGCCACACGGCATAATGGGCATGAGTGAGTGAGTGTCCTATTGGTATGGGAGTTGTAAGTTTAAGGCTTTCAAATCCTTCTAAAGTGTTAAAAGTATCTCATAGGTTGATACGAAAAAAAAAGGGGTTTTCACGAAGTTTTAAAGAGTCCAATCGCTAGAGTGGGTCGAGTCTTGTTCCACGGAGGAGTGACCGAGAGCGCATCTTCACTTTATTGCAGAAGCTCAAAGACGCGACTGGTTAATGAAGTTTGGGATTAACGGACTTAAGCAAAAATTTGAGTTCGCTGCCACTATAAAAAATCTCGGGAAGTAAGCGAATGTAAAAATTGACATGTTAACTATTCGGTATCAGTTTTCTTATGACACCATTATCGAGCTCATTGTAATACAGGAACTAGGTAAGAACGCTTTCTTACACTTGTGTGTCCCCCATAAATGGGTTTTCTATTCTTTCTTACTTCGTGGCTGCTAAACTACCGAAAATTACGAAACTTCGTGACCAGATGATGACGCAACTTTTTTGGGTCTTAACCTCTCTTCCCCTCAACCCCTCCCCCGTTAATATGAGAATAATCCAGAATATCTAAAAGAGATATGGTAAGAGATGGGACATTCATTTTATTGTTGAAACAGGTGTAAGTTAGTGTCTAACAAATGCTCTCCTTCCTTGACGTTCCCTTTCTACCACATATTTAAAGATAACATTAAAAAAAAAAATCAACAAGATGCTTTTCGAAGGAGTTGTGAACATGTTTTTGTTCCATTGTTTTGGCTATAGAAACCAAGGGCCATGGTTAGTTTTATTTAACCACATCGAAATTATTACTTGCTCCAACTTTGAGTCGACAGAAAAATAAAATTTGGCAATAGTTTTTGTAAAGAAAGAAAGACAGAAAGAAAGAAACGTTTTTTTAGAAATGCGGGCGTACCGAAGTAAAATTGCTAGTGTGGTATTCATCAGAATTTGATTTGTTTGAAATGAGCCATACTTAGCAGGAGGACCTATTTAGCTTTTGGATTAAAAAAAATTGCACTTTCTCTTTGGTGTGCCGCGTGCTCAACGAAAACCGCAAAAAGGAGAACGTCCGCTCTGGAAAAGTTTAGCAGACACAGGCACGAAAAATGAGTTTTTTCTTTCTAGCTAATTGTAAGAGCGTGATCTCTCATCTCTCCCTCCCCGTGGCTTTTTTGTATGAAAATGCCAGTAAATTTGTTTCAATCCCGCGTACTATAAACTCAATAACTAGATCAGTGGAAAAAATTGTGCAGTTTCTAGGATTGACTGCAAATGAAAAAATCGAAACACTCTTCCACGCGCACGATAAGAAAGTTATCACCAGTAAGCGTTAACACGTATTACTGAATCCGCGAATTTTTACTTGTTTCGAGGTGTTTGCTCATTGTTTGCTCATACTGTTGCCGCAATATTTTACCCTGAAACGACCGCCTATTCGGATGTCACTTCAGCTAATAAAGTTACTTCTTCAATCCGTTCTGTTCTAAATAGTATATTTAAAGCGAAGTCTTGTTGGCTCGCCAGTGAAAACCTTCCACGTGGTCATCGTTTCTTTCTTTTACATCCATTGCGTTATTACACTGTGCGCAGCGAAGTGGATTGGCGAGAAGATTCCTGTTCTGTAGCTAATGGATAACATTCAATACAGGACCTTGCTCTAAGGCCGTATACTGACGTAAAGCCATGTTATATTCTTGTTGAAAGAATTCTGATAAAACACTACTACTAATAAAAACAGCTTCAGCCTTGTTCTGGTTCGGTGAAACATATTTCACATTAATACGTATTAACGCCCTTGCACGCCTCGGGAGTCATCGCTGTGACGTGGTTAGCGTTCACTCGGAGGGGGTGGTGGAGTTTGCTTTCGTGCGCGATCGTTTGGGAATTAACGCCTGCTAGGACGCTTAAATGTTTCCTTTCTTTTTTACATCTACCAAGATGGACTTAAAATACAGATTGGTCAGTATTTATTATGTCTGTTCGTTATCATTTATTTTGAGTTGTCGAATATAGATGTGATCGCGCGTCGTCTCAACTTACATATTAGTACAGATTTACACTGGATTTCGTTCCCCATTTGCCGTAATTTAAGCGAGTGTTTTTGTTTTAGGGGTGTCCTCTATCCGCCTTTTCTATGACTGAAATCCGCCGCGTCAAGATTTGATTTATTTCACCGTTTCGTTGTTGATTCGTGTAAACTTGAAGGTGAGAAAATTGTTTATGAATAGTTAGTTATTGATCAACCGATCGATAAAGGGCTTCAGTTTTCTTGTTCGGTGGGGTTCTTTAACGATTCAGTAGGCGCGTGCAGCTGCAGTCCTTACATTGTGTTTTCCTGCTTTAGTAACATTCACTGTAAAGCTACATTATGAGCTACAGCAAGCGTGCTTTTCAGAGGACCGTGGTGTTACTGGAAAAGAAGAGGACTGCTGTTCCTGTGAACGCAGAAATGAGTCGGCTTATAAATGCCAGGCGGGTGATGGACATTGCCTTTACAAAAAACCACACCGCTTCTCAGATAGGCGATCTTATTTGCGGCGCTTTTCCTTCTTTAGTTGGAAAAGACCTCGGTGGGTAAGTCTTGTTTGTCTTGTCACTCGCTTCTTCTGAACCAGTTCGCTTCAAACTACACAAAGCTCTAAGTAATGCTTCAATTTCCCTTTCACTGAGGGAGGGAAAAGAAGAAATAGGACTTAAATTTTAGTGATTTGGCTTTCAACAGGTTTCCATTAAGCTCCTACCCAATCAAAACACCCCAAAGAATACCCAAAAATAAATTGTCCAGCCCCAACCCCTTCCTCTGCATTCTTAATAGCATTTGCAACAAGGACCACTATCATTACAAAGAAATTTCAAATCAAACTCTCCTTCCAAACACATTTCAATTCTGTTAAAGAACTGGAAAAGTAGATTTCTCTGAAAAAACCAAATTTTCCTCAATTAAACGCTTCTCTTGCTTGCTTTTTTGCAGATATGCTTCCAGGCAAAGAGAGATTTTAAAATGTTTACGCTAATTATCATAAAACAGGGCGATAATTTTGATCCTGTGCGAAGGTTAGCTGCTTGCTGTTTGTTGTTATAAAATTAGGATCTTGTGCCTGTACGGCTACAGTGTAGTTATTAAGACAGCATTACCTTGAAGTTCAAATTTCATTGCCTAGTACTAGAAATTCAAATAAAGGCTAAGGGATTCCTGGTCAGAAACTGAGACAGGTCATATATCAGCCATTTCCAGAAATCATAGCATTATGTTACTAAACATGACATGACACAACACTCCAACAATTAGAGTATGCACATGTTTTACAATTTTCCAACTTATATCAAATTCCATACTCAGGTTATCAAAGTGAGAATAATTCCCATTTGTCAACAAATCCTTAAAAGTAATCAGTTTTGTTTCTATTTTTAACTATCTGCAGAATTTGTAGCATGCTCCAAACATTATCAGTTGATCTGTACTACTGGATGGCATGTATGGAGAGTGCAAGTGGGAGAAGAGGTAAATCAATTATCCCAAAGCTGATTCTTGGTATAGATGGTGTACACTGAAGAGAATTAAGCAGTATAGCAATTCAAGAAGAAATCCAGAAAAATTCTCCGTTTAGTCAGCTTTCATCTGATCATTGTCTATACATTTACACACAAACATGATAAAAGTATGACAGGTAAAAAAGGTTCCCTTCAGTAATTATAGACCTTACAGATAATGGATGCCCTCTGCAGCACTCAGCTGCACATAACTACATTGTGTCTTACTGGAAAGTTGTCATTGTTAAAACATTTTAAAATTGGATACTATGGTAAATGTAATAAAATAGAACAATAATGATATACTGTAAAAAGAGTTGGTGTTGTTCATTGTGGCGAGTTATCACCAACAACTTCATTCAAAGATTTACCATTCAAAGCTGATTAAAAATTTTTTCTCTCAAGTTATTTATATTTATTTAGATGGATACTACTATTTTATCATAGAGAGTTTAGTAAAAATCTTTCTTTTTTCAGTGATATCAAAGTTTGGCCTAAATAACCACGAGAATCAGATTTTTTTCCTGGCACCAACCTCTGCCAGGCCAGTCCTGGTCGAACGTTTTTCAGGTAGGTTTTCATATTTTAGAGTAAACTTCAACATACATTATTTACCATTTTCTGTAAACTGCACTTTTCAAACATACACAGTACAGCACTTACCCTTTCAATCATGCAATCACAATGAAAATACAATATGCACTTGACAGAAGAATGAAAATGATACACAAGATATTGGCAAGGAAAAAGAGGAAACATCTTTTGCAGTAGTTGAGATTACCTTCCTTGCCAACACCAAAAGTTGCAATGTTGAAAGACACTCTTCCTTGAAAGTTCATAACTTGTTTTGTTTAGGCCAGACCCTTGCCAACATCAACATGGGTGACATTGAAGATTGCATTCAGCAGGGCCAATTGGCCCTTCAGAATTTAAAGAAGAAATGGTAAGATAATCAGCACAACAAAATTCCTTTTTTATTAATCCCAGAAAGTAGACACTTGTCATGACTCATATGCGAGTCATAGAGAACCATATTGAATCAAACAGTGGCCCAAATTTGCTTGTAGCACCTAACTTACTTTCAGAAAAAACATGCTACATGTACCACTTTTACAGTCCAGGTTTCAAAGTGTACCTAACTGAGGCAAATTGTTCTATATTTTTCTGTCAGCAATAAAAAGGAGGATCAAACCACTAAGATGGATATGGAGGTGAATAGTATAATATTACATATCTCTAAAATGTCTCTAACATATCCCAACAATATGTTGCGTTCCATTAAAGCCAATTCATTAAGTTTTGACATTGATGAATGATAAAAGTATAAGTTTATGTCAACAGAAAAACCAGGCCAATGAACATAGAGAAGTATGTCCTGGAGTGTTCATCAAATATTTAATGTCATGCCAGTGTCTTTGGTGATGAGTATATAGGAGCAAAACTTTTCATTTTTTAAAAACAATAATTTCCAATATTGCCTACATACTACAAGACCAAAAAGAAAGATAAAAGATAAAAGAAAGAAAAAATCTTTCAATAACATCAGATAAAAAGTTTACATCACTATGAATAGAGAATACTAGAATCAAAAGAACGACTCCATAGATAGCTCCAGCAATGCTTGTAAAGGTAACCTCTCAAAATCACTAGATAATTGCTGCAGTTATTTTCTGGCCGACAGACCTCTTTGGTGTTTTAATTCCCCCTTCTCTTTACTTGGAATGAAGTCAACGAAGTTCAGCAGAACAAAACATAAGAAATGTTTTTCCCTTTTAATTTCATAGTTAAGAGAGGTAAGGGGTCACCGGGTACTGCCTGAGGACAAAGAGGGCATTACAATAATCCTACGGTATGGCAGTACCCGACTGAAACGCAAATTCAAAGCAACTGCTCTTTTCCAGGTATTTACAGTAACTTGTGAATGAGTGGTTAATATGAATACATTTATGATCAATTATTGGAATGATAAACACAATGTTTCCATCTCTCTCCTCTAGGGATTTACAATCTTTGTCATGTATACGGCACAACGCATATCTTAATTCATGTATTCCACACATTATGTAACATGGCTCGACAACTTCGAGATGCTTTGCAACTTCACGAGAAAAGAAGAAAATTTTGGCATGAGCAATCTGAGGAAACGAACGTTTTACTTAGGAATAATATATATTCTCCGCAATTTCAATTACAGTACACGATATTCAATTAGTGCCTATACTTCAAATGGTGTTTTGCTAGATGGTTTAATAGACGAAACAATTATTTCAGCAGTAACATATCAATTACATCTTCACAAATCTATTTAGGATCCAGAGGAAGCCAAGGCTCTCCTAGAGGCTCTCCTAGGGAATCTTTTTCAGTTTTACACTGTTTTCTCAATTAAGAGATTAGTTTGGAATTTATTATTAATTACATGCTGGAACAAGATAAGCATTACCTGACTGCATTTAAATAAATCCTCACAATTACAAATTGATTCGTCATTTACTCCTGGAAAGGGAAATCTTGCAAAAGGCCCCTATGGAAGATGACACATTGGCATTGACTTGCGTAACACTGTTATAAAAGCTAACAATAACATTAACATGTAAGAAAATGCAAATGGTATCTACTCTAGTGGAAATGTTTGAGGGAGGTATGCTGTACAGATGAATTTACTTATAAGCTGAATTATTCGTCACCATGTTATCCATTTTGTGCAGCATACTTCCCTTCCCTTCATTTCTTTGCAGGTTTGCTTCAAGGGAAATGTGCCACTAGGCAAACAGGAAATCCTGCAAACGACAGTCGAGGGTAAGAATTGTCTTTATGAGGTTTATGGTAGGTTTTCTAGCAAAACTTGCGAACAAAATTATTATCTTAGAAGACTTAAAATGCTCTTTATTGCATCACCTCAATAATGAAGTGGTGGTAAAATCCATTACCAATGCCTGAGTTGATTGTTAAAGGGATTAAACCATCATCACTTTTACTGACAGATGAAGACCACCAAGGCCATTATAAAAAGGAAAGAAGAATGGAAAAAAGAAGAAAAAAGGAAAGGAAAGAGAAAAGAGAAAAGAAGAAGCAAAAGAGCGAAGAGAAAAAAGACGCAAGAGTAGATAAAGATGGAGAATGTAGAAGAGAAGATGCCAGCATGGAAGGTGAGGAAGGAGAAAAGGTAGAAAAAGAAGAAATAAAGGAAATCAATGCCAAAGGGGAAAAGAAAAAAAGGGAAAAAAGAACTGGCTGCCAAAGGAAGAAGTTGAAGAAGTAGTCAGATGTTGGATAATGTAAGGATATTATGGGGAGAAGTTACTTGTTAATCACTTATAGAAGTTAAAGGGTGAAAAAAATTAATGGAAGTTTTTAACCCTTTAACTCCCAGTGGTGATTCACATAAAACTTCTACCTACAATATCCATACATTCTCCCGCAAACAGGTAAAGAGAATATTAAAACTTATCAGGTAGAAGCTGCTATCTTGATCTAGTACCAAGTTCTCATAACTAATTCACAAGGAAATGTGTAGCAGCTACAGGGGAGAATTAATGTTAGATTTTTCCTAATTTTGGTTTCCCTGTTCTACGTAGAAGTTAGTGTCACGAGACCTGTTTTCCATATTTGGTATTGTACACGAGGTTTTCTGTTTAGATTAAAAATAGTTCTTCCGCCATCTTGATCTAGTTACTGTGTTCCTGGCCTTTTATTCGGAATACACAACAATTGGCGACGAGGATGGGATTCCTTTGATCAAGCACAAGCGGTTAACAGGAGTGGGTCGTACAAATCACGTTCAAAAAGGGACAGAGACGACGAAAATAAAATTATGCCGGACGAAGCACCGAGCGCTAACACGAGTCAAGCCATCGGCAAAGTGACAAAGTTTGTGGTGGGAGCGGATTGGGAGTCCTACACCGAACAACTGGATTTTTACTTTCTTGCAAATGGAATCAAGGAACCTAAAACAATGAAGGCCGTACTTTTGACGAACCTTCCGGTGGAAACTTACCAATTGGCGAAGGATTTAGTGGCCCCCACACAACTGAAAGATGACGCCATTACCTATGAGATCATCGTGGAGCGAATGCGGGAACAACTGAAACCTGAAAGATCAGCGCTGGTTGCGAGGTATGAGTTCGACAACCGAGCCAGGAATTCCGGTGAGTCAGTTAGTCATTATGTAGCCACGCTGAAGCACTTGGCCACAGAATGTAAGTTTGGAGAGGCCATGCGAACCGAGCGCCTTCGTGACCGATTAGTTTCAGGTATCCGCGACTCGAAGATGATTACGGAATTGTTGAAAGTAAAACTCGCCGACCTTTCATTTGATCTCGCGGTTCAAAAGTGTTTGGCCATTGAGCAGGCTAATAAAGATGTTCAGGTGCTTCAGGGAGAACAAGGGCCAGGCACCCCAATCAATAAACTTGACACTGTCAAAACTGGGGAAGAACAAGCCATATCCAAGCCACCACCTAGGGCCGAGGGTCCCCGAGGTAAGGACAGTAAGAAGTCTAAACCTTGTTACCGCTGTTCAGGGTCACATAACTCACAAAAGTGTCCCTTCATGAAAGAACGCTGTTTTCATTGTGGCATCATTGGACATACACAGAGAGCATGTAGGAAGAGACAGGCCACCTCACAGATGACTGAGGCTGGAATAAATGTCATGGAGGGTGATGATTCCGAAGAAAGTGATGGAGAATTTGGGAACCTGTACCATGTCTCAGACATTAAAAACACAAAGCTCATTTCACTTAAGATCTACCTTGAAGGCCGCCCAGTGACTATGGAGCTGGATACAGGTTCAGTGGTGTCAGTCATGAGTGAGAGGGTGTATTTGGATTACCTCCGCCACATTCCTTTAAAGGACACCTCCTTGAAGTTGCGCACATACACAGGAGAGTCAGTGAAGCCTATGGGGTTTTGCCATGTGACTGTGCAGTATCAGGGACAGTCAAAGAAACTTCCCATATATGTAGTGAAGAATGAGGGACCCACCCTTTTTGGCAGAGAATGGCTGGAATCTATCCATCTGGACTGGCCCTTACTTCGTCTGGAAACATCCGACACCATTCCAGCCCTGGAAGATGTCCTGAGTAAGCATGGAGATGTTTTCTCTGAAGGTTTGGGCAAAATGAAGAATATCCAAGCACGGATCCAAGTTAAAGAGGATGCCCGGCCTCGATTCTGGAAAGCCCGCCCAGTAGCGCTGGCTCGTAAACCAGCAGTGGACGAAGCATTGAGAGAGCTGGAAGCTGAAGGAGTTATAAAGAAGGTAGCTACTAGTGAGTGGGCTGCTCCAATTGTGACACCTGTGAAGAAGGATGGCAGTGTAAGAGTGTGTGGTGACTTCAAAGTGACCATCAATTCACAGCTGGAGGTAGACGAGTACCCACTTCCCCGCATTGATGATATTTACGCCAGCCTAGGTGGGGGAACGTTGTTCAGCGTCATTGACCTTCGTCAGGCTTACTTACAAATGGAGGTTGAGGAGCACTCCAGGCCTTTCAGCACCATTAACACAACCCATGGTTTGTTCCAGTACCAGCGCCTTCCTTATGGTGTAGCTTCGGCGCCAGCCATCTGGCAGCGAGCTATGGATCAGATCCTGCAAGGACTACCAGGGGTCTTCTGTTACCTGGATGATATCATTATAACCGGCCATACCATAGAGGAACACCTGGAGCGGTTAGTCGCAGTATTGAAGAGGTTGGAAGAGTATGGTTTGAAAGCCAACCGAGAAAAGTGTAAATTCCTTAGAAGTTTTGTGGAGTACCTAGGACACGTCATCTCTGCAGAAGGACTGCACCAATCCCCAAAGAAAGTAAAGGCTATCACTGAGATGCCGAAACCTCAGGATGTTACTCAACTGCGTGCTTTTCTTGGCATGGTCCAGTATTACGCCAAATTCTTGCCCGATCTGGCCACTCATCTTGCTCCACTTCATCGGCTGTTACAGAAAGATGTGACGTGGTTGTGGGGAGCTGCGGAACAAACTAGTTTTCTTGTGGTGAAAGAAATGTTGCTACAGGATAGGGTTCTGATGCGCTATGACCCTGACTCACCACTAGTTCTTGCCACAGACAGCTCCTCGTATGGTCTCGGAGCGGTCTTGTCACACCGTACTGCTGAGGGAGTAGAGCGTCCTATCGCTTATGCGTCCCGGTCCCTGTCCGAAACAGAGAAGAAGTTCTCACAAATCGAGAAAGAAGCATTATCTTTGGTCTGGGGTGTGAAGAAGTTCCAAATGTACCTGGAGGGTCGCCACTTCACCTTGGTCACCGACCATCAGCCTTTGAAGTACATAATGGACCCCGGGAAGGCTGTGCCAGTCACAGCAGCAGCGAGGATTCAACGTTGGTGTCTCTTCCTAGGAGCTTTTTCATACAATATCGAGTTCCGAGGTACCAAGCAACATGCCAATTGTGATGGTTTATCTCGCCTACCCCAACCATCAGCGCCCGCTGACAAGCCCGATGAAGTTGAAATATTCCATACCACCGTTGTCGAGGCCCTCCCCGTTACAGAGCACGACTTGAGAATGCAGACCCGTAGGGATCCAGTACTTTCCCGTGTTCTGGAGCTTGTGCAGTCAGGATGGCAAGGGACCGAACTTCACCCAGAGCTCATCCACTATGCCCATCGCGGTAACGAAATCACGATTCATCATGGAGTTCTAATGTGGGATAGTAGAGTAGTCGTCCCAGCCAAACTGAGAGAGAGAGTTTTGGAAACGCTTCACGAGGGTCACATTGGTATGGTCAAGATGAAGGGTTTGTCCCGGGGTTTTGTTCAGGATGGCAAGGGACCGAACTTCACCCAGAGCTCATCCACTATGCCCATCGCGGTAACGAAATCACGATTCATCATGGAGTTCTAATGTGGGGAAGTAGAGTAGTCGTCCCAGCCAAACTGAGAGAGAGAGTTTTGGAAACGCTTCACGAGGGTCACATTGGTATGGTCAAGATGAAGGGTTTGTCCCGGGGTTTTGTTTGGTGGCCAAACATTGACAAGGACATCGAAGGGGCCGTCCGAAACTGTGAGGGATGTCAAGAGTTGGCAAATAATCCAGCCCGTGCACCCCTGCATCGATGGGAGTACCCTTCCCTTCCCTGGCAAAGACTGCATATTGACTTTGCCGGACCAGTCGAGGGAAAGATGCTCATGGTAGTGATCGATGCCCACAGCAAGTGGCCGGAGATTTTCGTGATGGAGATCACCACTGCTGAAGAAACCGTTAGCACGCTGCGCTCTCTGTTTGCCCGCATGGGACTCCCTGACCAGATGGTGTCAGATAATGGTCCACAGTTCACGTCTGAAACCTTTAGGAAATTTACAACTGCGAACGGTATAAAGCATGTCACTGGTGCACCTTACCATCCATCAACCAATGGTCAGGCGGAAAGATTAGTACAGAGTTTCAAGAAAGGAGTTAAGGCTGACAAGTCCAGTAGAACCCTGCAACACAAGCTTGATAGGTTCCTGTTAGCTTATCGATCAGCGCCACACGCCACTACTGAGCTTAGCCCTGCACAGCTTCTCCTGGGTCGGAATGTTAAGACAAGGTTGGACCTGATTAAGCCGGATGTTTCAAGAAAAGTTAACAAGAAGTTGCTCCAGCCCAATGACCGCACTTTAAAGTCTTTTGACCAAGACCAGAACGTATGGGTCCGCAACTACCGCAGAGGTCCAAAATGGGTGCGTGGCACCGTCATTGAACAAACGGGTCCAGTCCTGTACAAAGTCAAGGTAAACGACCAAACCTGGAAACGTCATGTCGAGCAGCTACGGGATAGCAATCTTTGCCCACCTGACGCGGAAACGATTGATGATTGTGCTGTTCCGGAGGAGGTCGAACATGACACACCGCCTGTAGCTACGGAGACTGAGTGGAAGGATGCACCACCTTTGGCTGTGACGCCTATTGGGGAGTTTTCCCCTCCAGAACCACAAGGTCATCAACTAGATCCGAAACCTGAATTGATTACCACCCGTGCCGGTCGTTTGGTTAAACCACCTCCTAAGTTGAAGGACTATGTTTGCGGCTAGAGGGAACTGTGGTGTTTTCTTTCTGTGGTCACAGTACCAACATGTTATCTAAGATACTTTGAAATTTGTTTTATTCTTTCTTTTCATTAGTGTACTATTTAGTCTTAAAAGGGGGGAAATTGTTAGATTTTTCCTAATTTTGGTTTCCCTGTTCTACGTAGAAGTTAGTGTCACGAGACCTGTTTTCCATATTTGGTATTGTACACGAGGTTTTCTGTTTAGATTAAAAATAGTTCTTCCGCCATCTTGATCTAGTTACTGTGTTCCTGGCCTTTTATTCGGAATACACAACAATTAACAATCAGATCTTGGGAGTTAAAGGGTTAAACTAGTTTGTAATTTAATTATGTGAATGTTTGTTATTCATTAAGTATTTAGTGGTTATGATTACTCAGTAAGTAATCATGGTTGTTTATAAATTTGAGTATTCTTGTTACCTATTTGTTGGATAACATAAGGATTTTATGGGAAGAAGTTTCTTTTTAACCTTTTAACTGCCACGAGTGACCCAGACAGAATTTCTCCCTACAATATTAATACAATATCAACCAGATAAGTGAAGAGACCAAAGAAGAATATCAATTTTGGGTTAATTAGTCGATCAATACTAAATTCTCTGACCTAACATCATAAGAATTGTATGGTTGATAGTAAGGAGAATTAAAAATTCAATCTGGGAGTTAATGGGTTAATCACTTCTAGGAGTCAAAGGGTGAAAAAATTAATGCAAGTTTTTAAACTAGCTTGTTGTGTAATTATATTAATGTTTGTTATTCATTAAGTATTTAGTGGTTATGATTACTCACTAAGTAATCATGCATTTTTATAAATTTTGATCAAAGAAAAATATGAATTATTTTTGTTGTGCTGTATCACATTCAACAGATGTAGAGCAGTTGTTAATTAAAAGTTAACTCTCAATCTTTTGAAACTGTTTCTTAATTGTCCCCTCAAGCTGCTACACAATTCCTTGTAGATAGCTTATGAATTCCTTGTAGATAGCTTATGGGTATTAGATCAAGATGACAATTTCTACCTGATAAACATGAGTATTCTCATTACTTATTTGTTGGATAATGTAAGGATATTCTGGGGAGAAGTTTCTTGTTTATCACTTCTAGGGGTTAGAGGGTTAAAAAATTAATGCAAGTGTTTAAAATAGTTTGTATTCTAATTATGTTCATGTTTTTTTATCCATTAAGTATTTAGTGGTTATGATTAATCAGCTGGTAATCATGCGTATTTATCAATTATGAATTTTAATAAATTTTGCAAATGACATGTGCACTTTACAATGGCATGTTGAAAGTTATCTTTAAATATGTGGTAGAAAGGGAACGTCAGGGGAGGAGAGCATTTGTTAGACACTAACATACACCTGTTTCAACAATAAAATGAATGTCCCATCCCTTACCATATCTCTTTTAAATATTCTGGATTATTCTCATATTAACGGGGAAGGGGTTGAGGGGAAGAGAGGTTAAGACCCAAAAAAGTTGCGTCATCATCTGGTCACGAAGTTTCGTAATTTTCGGTAGTTTAGCAGCCACGAAATAAGAAAGAATAGAGAACCCATTTATGGGCGATACACAAGTGTAAGAAAGCGTTCTTACCTAGTTCCTGCATTACAATGAGCTCGATAACGGTGTCACTTGATACCGAATAGTTAACATTTCAATTTTTACATTCGCCTACTTCCCGAGATTTTTTATAGTGGCAGCGAACTCAAATTTTTGCTTAAGTCCGTTAATCCCAAACTTCATTAACCAGTCGCGTCTTTGAGCTTCTGCAATAAAGTGAAGATGCGCTGCTCCTTGGATACCGGCCTCTCGGTCACTCCTTCGTGAAACAAGACTCGACCCATTCTAGCGATTGGACTCTTTAAAACTTCGTGAAAACCCCTTTTTTTTTTTCGTCTCACTCAAATTTTTGCTTAAGTCCGTTAATCACTTAAGTAGCTTGTAAAAATGAACAATGTGAATCTTACGTGCAAATCTGGTGGTTAGAGTTTAACATTAAAAATTTGGTTGTTGCAAGCTTTAATTCAAGGTATAATGTAAAAATTTTTAGATCTAGATGAGTAAAAAGCTGGTGGTTGCAAGCTTAAGGACTAGGACCGCGAGAACCGTTCCAGGTGCTGACCTCTTAATCTGCGTTTAAAACCTAGATTGAGTAACAAAGTTTAAAAGAATCGAAAAACAAGCAAAACAAGAACTGCCACAAATTTAATCATCACAAATCTTCAAACAGTGCGCATTTCTTTTTTTCTTTTAACCTAAAAATCACAAACCCAACAACCCTGGTCGACCCATCGTTTAAGCCTGCAGTTGCCCCACCGAACAGATCTCTACCTATTTATACTCTCGAAAAAGAGAAATCACATGGAGACATATCAGTCTGGCTTAAGCTATGTAACCTTTTTTTAACTGAATGTAAAGCTTTGTCTCTGAGCAGATCTATAGGCTTCCTAATCATGAAAAACAAACTGGAGATCATGTCCTCGCTAGTTTTGAAACAGGAAAAACCAAATATTTTTTTTAATTTTTCTCTTCACCATAGTTTTTATTATTATCTCTTCCCCTTGATAGTCTTATATCGAGCATGATCTGCTCTTTCCCCTCCCCCCTCCCCCTGCCAGAAAAATCTATATCGAGCTCGGTTGCCCGGGAACAAATATTATTCAGCTCGGTCGGACGCGAGCTCGATTTGATTCGAGCGCGATTACCAAATCGAGCTCGATTTGATTCGAGCTCGATTACAAAGGTTGTGACTCGAGCTCGGGTAGACTTTCGAGCTCGAGTCACTTATGTCGAGCTCGGTTGCTCAGGATCCTTCTAGTCGAGTTGTGACTCGAGCTCGGATAGGCTTTCGAGCTCGAGTCACCTATTTCGAGCTCGGTTGCCCAGAAACAAATATTGATCTGGATAATCTTTCAAGTAATTTTTGATTCATATTTCTCCTCCAAAAACAAAGTAGTTTTTTTGAGCGAGATTCTGTATAGTAAGTAGTCACTAAGGGCATAAAGTGGCGATTTGTATCGTTTTCTATAATACATCTAATGTGTGGAACCTGTATTTAGGGCTCAGCCGGTATCAAGTGGACACCCCGTGATTTCTCTTAGCTGACTGCGGTAACCGAGTTATATTGAAAGAAGGAAGGAGAGATTTCGCGATTGCGACGCGAAAGAAGTGTGACAAGTAATGGAAAACGCAGGAAATTCAAACACTAAGAAAAGCAGGAAACTCTGACTTATACTTTCGACAACCTGGCCTGATGAAAGAGGATTCAATCCGAATATTTTGCGCTACTAGGCTAGGGAACTTGATTTCGAGCTGAAGAAGTTTTTCCAAGACAGACGTTTGAGACTATGAGCCATCTTTGGAACTCTCAATGGTGGCCAACTTACGTTATCAACTCAGTTGATTATACCAGATTACCTGATTGAAAGTTTGATCCCGATCGTCTTTTCAAATGAAGAAGGAAAAAAGACGAGGCCGAGGATGGAAGTTATTGCTAAAACAAGCGCAAGTTCACCAAAGATTTCATTTCAAAATATAATATTTCAACTCCATTTCAGAGTGATGATCATGTAAAGTCACAAGGATGTCAAAGTAGCAGGAATTGTATCCAGATTAATTAACGTAGCAGAGAGTGAATATAACAAACAATTAACCTTGTACATATCATTCTGTGGCAAGGTAAGCCGCGGGTGTGTAACAAAATGTTTCAAATGTTGAATTCATTAACCAGCTTTTTCTTCTAATCCTACCTCCAAAGCCATGCGCTTATTCACCAAAGGTCGGCTTACACGAGAGGACCAACTGCATGGGCTTGTTTCGGAAAAAAGTTCCTCGAAATAGCCAAATACATGACGTTTTCACTGAAATCCTGAGACGCGTTGATGCGGAAAAGGAGCTTTTCTAGCTCCGAAAGCGGATTACTAAACTAACCGAAGTTCACGTTCTCGTAAATAAAACTGGATTTCGTCAATCTACAAAAAAGGTCAGTCATTTACAATTTCGAAAGCGTTGCCTTTCCCTAAGGTTCGGTATACTAATGATCCAGAACTGAAAGAAAGAAGCTAGTAAACCTGGAAGCCTTTAGTTCAAACAAATTGTCGATTTTCCAGTTGTCGATTTTCGTTCTCAGCTGCCAGCTTACCAAAGCCACTGAACGCGTAACTTTCGGTTTTTCTTTTCGTATTTTGGTTTTCTTTCCATCCCAGGAAAGTTTGAACGTCAGTGTCTGAAAACCATACGGATTTTTCAGTAATTTACCAATCATAATACGAGAAAATTCCGACCAACAACCATGAATTGAAAATGGTGATGGCTTTGCCGTTCATTCATCAACCTGACCGAGTGGCGCGAAAGGCGAGTGACGTGTCAGCTGCTGATTAGCGATATCAAACAAAGTGAAAAAATGTCGTATTTTTTCTCGTGTGTTGTTACGGCTTTTCTCAGGGCTAATAATCCTTGTATAACAACGTAGTTTACACGATAAAATCGTTTCTCTCACGATGTGGTCACTTCGGATGTGTATCGCGACATTTCGGCTGATTATTATACCGCCAATCTTACTCGCTTGGTAAAGACTAGCAGTATGCAGTCTGAACGCAGTGATCCGCATCCGAAGTGACACACTTTGCTATGCCTGAAGAGCCGCAACAGCGGTGAAACGCGTAGTGCAAAAGCAAAATAAAAGTTAAAAGAAGACTTTCGTTTCTCATTGGTTTTAGTATATATATGTGTGTAAATAAATCTTGATTATAGTCTATCCTTGCGGTATAGTGCTCGATGCGTTCGCAGAGCGGGGTATATCTGAAAGTTGGACAAATCAATGAGACATAGCTTTGCTGTGACTCTGAGTTTCACGCTTACGCGATCATCCGACAGATTTTAATCTAATAATAAGATTTTAATCCGTATAATAAGTTTGTGGAAGTTTTAAAGATGTGATACAAAGTTTTTCTTCTTAATCATTAAAATCACGTTTTATTT